TTCTTCTTCTTCTTCTTCTTCTTCTTTTTCTATCAGTTTACACAAAAGAGATCTAAACAACAACAAGAATAATAACAACAACAACAAAAAAAGCAGCAAAACACCGCCGCCACCACTACCACCGCTAACAACACCAACAACAACAGAGGGAACCGCAAAGAAAACAACAATATTGATTCTGACAGCAACAGCAACCAAAACTAAAACCAAACAACAACCCCTACTACTAGAATTGGAAGAAAAAAACCCAGCCTTAATCCCTCCCCCAAAACAACATCAACAACTGAGATAACAAAATACTTTTTAAAAATCCAACAAAACAAAACAACCCCCCCCCAAAAAAAAGAAAAGATTATGATAGCAAGTGTGCCCCTTTCGATAATGGATTCTGCTGTGATATTAGGCGAACATTACAGTTAATTGCTCTCTTCAACCATCTTCATCATGCCTGAAACAGTAGCACGGTGTGTTCCCCGTTCCCACGCAGCGAAGGTCTATCTATCTATCTATCTATCTATCTATCTATTTATCTGTCTATCTATCTATCTGTCTATCTATCTGTCTATCTATCTATCTAGTTGCTTTTTCAATATGTGTTTCAAGAGAAAAGTTCGACAATATAATATGAAAGACAGCGCAAAATATTATACCAATCTTGAGAGGACCAATCCCACTCTTGGTGTTTCCTCAAATGACCTGGGATTAAATTATAGCTCTTTAACATTTGGTGTGGTTTACCAAGTTTAAGAATGTAGTTTTGATTTTTTACGCCCCAATTAACACTATTTCGATTATTTCGGTGGCCGGGTGCTTCACCCTGCATGTCAGGGCCAAATTAGGCAGATAGCTAGAGAATAAATGCAACTTCGTAGCCGACAGTCAACAGACAGAAATGCTTGAGAACGTGTCTTCCCAATTGAGAATCGAACTCCCGTCTTCTGCACGCGACGTTGTTGCGCTTTACCATTGTGCCACAGAGCCAACACTGAGTCCGTCAGCTATTTCCACCAAGATTTCAACAAAGTAATCACGGAAAGGAAAAATGTCTGACTTACCCATCGCAAATATGTTGTCTATAAGATAAGTTATTTTTCCCCTTCCATTCCCCCACCCCAACACCTCCATTCTTAAGAGACTTAAAAAGTGTATTTCGTCCATGAAGTCACCACGAACCAACTGTGGAGCCACAAAAAATGGAACCCTCAGATATGCATTTTAGGTCGAGTGAGTTCCAAATCGAGGGCTGAAGTTTATTTTCTCAAAATTTAAACATCAGTAGAATTCAACATTCCTGAGAACATGGCGGAGCTATGTGTTCTCATAAAACAATCCAAAATTGAGTCATTGGTTCTTACTTCTACTAAAAGCCATTGAGCGTGTGCCCTTCACCCGAATGCCATTTTTTTTAAAGAGAGAAGTTTTCAAAGTTTGTTCCTTGCTTCCGTAGAGGGTACGGTCTGTGATAAGCACGGTCGAAGAAGTTGCCTTTAGAGATCCTGTAGTTTGGTACATTTGATGAGCAGATCGTCCGCAAGATTGTAAACTTTTTTCTATTACCGCGAAGAAATATTCCCCGTCCAGAGAAGAAAAAAAATCTGTTTCATACTTTGAACAATTTATTGTGCCAAAATTAAGTACCCTTCCTTGCATTTATCAACATCAAAATATATCATGTCATATTCGTAATCAGAGCCCCAAAATTTGAAAAAAGTTTACACGTAAACCACTGATTTAAGAGCATGTCAACATTTTTCGTAGGTTGTTTTTTGAATCCTTCATGTTCTGTTATTCCCACCTCGTTTTTCTGCAGCTCTTGGTACTAACAAAATAAAAACTGTTAGGAAGAGACATATTAAATGTGCTTTCTGGAACATTTGATTCAACATAAAGGCCTTAAACATCTAGCTCTAATTGGTAAAATGTAAGGACAACGATGCAGGGCGACCAGAGCAATTTGCTTGGAAAAAA